CAAACTCAGGATTTAGCAGTGTCTTTTTGAAATATCAATTCATTCCTCCCAAATATGAAGAGGAAAATTGGCCCGCTCCTCGCAAATCGGTGACCAAATTTTTTGAAGCAAAACTTTCTAACAAGGCGCATGTATCTGGTAGCTCTGCGCTACAAAGTTAAGGCTATTCGGTAGATCTGTGCCATGCTCAGATTGCGAAGGAGGTAATCACAAAACTTGTAGGAAATATATCTGCTATCCGTATTCGCTTTTATAATATTGTTAAAAGAAGCTGATCCTGGAAATATGCAAGAAACAAACTTGTTCACTTTTTGAAGTGATCAATGCTACTAACGTAAGGGTGTTTTCTTGTGAAGAAGTTTTACACTCCCAGACCTTGGTACGAGGTTTCCAGTTGGCCTCACGAGAAAAATAATTTTGTTGGGAATTTCGGAGAAGCGCTCTTTGTGACATGAGCGACGTGAGCTACGCGGAAGGCGAAAATTCTTGAATTACTAAAATGTACTATATACAGTAGCACAAATATTTATGTAGAAACCTCGTATTAATTTGACAAAATAGCTAAAGTGTGTAACAGTAAACAAAGCAACAAGTAAACATTAAGAACTTAATCCAGATTTGTCTTTTCCTGCCTGCTCTGAAAGTTTCTAACACAATGGTATGTTGAAGCAATTAGAAGCAAACACAATCGCGCTTCGTTCAGCTTCTAACTTTGATGGAGCAAGAGGCCCGTCCACCCGCACACAGCCAACGAACATCTTAAGGAGAATTACTTAACAAGGAGATGCAGTAGTTTTCTTTGATAGTTCATCACCGTAGTTGCAAAGAAGACAAGGTTGTTGAGTACCACAGATGAAGTTATCGCGCGAACCTCACCAAGTCCGAGACCTCGTGCATGGTCTGAGAAAGACTATAACGAAAATATTTAGAGAACTTAAATTCAAAAAGAAAGATAAGCACAGGTAATAATCATCGCAAAAATTGAGGAGTTACGATACTAGCGCACCTACAGGGCTATAATTAAATAGAGGTCAGGGAGTGGGACTTGTCGAATGCATCACAAATCACATTTGATTACTTTACCACCATAAAGTTTACACTCATTTTTGTAGGGTTACCCAAACTTGATGAAAGAGATGAAATGACAATTAATCACAATGTGTACGCATACCATAACAACGGGCGATTGGTCTGCAACTGGAGTCGCATGTACAGGCAGCGCAGGCGATGCAGCATAATATGCAACAGGGAGAGCCGGCAATAACGTGGATGGTCCTGGAGTAGTACTGGCCGGAGTATTTGCAGAAGTCAGAAGTGGAATGTCGAGCAC